CTTAAATGTTGTACATAAAGCAAAAAAACCCAACCAACCAAAAAAACCCCAAACAAACCCAAAACCAAACCACAAAACAAACAAAAAAACCCCAAACTGGAGCGCTCCCAGGAGATCAGTCAAAAGAGAAGGCCATCTCTGGTTTGTCTGATGCTAGAAGCTGACATAGTGTTGAATTTGTGATAGAACAGGTCTGCAAGATTCTGTGGGATTTGGGGGTTTTTTTGTCATTGTTCCCAAAAGGCAATATTGTAATTGCAAGTACAGTTTGCAAATAAAAATTATTACTACTGCCTGCATGTCTTCTTTCACTATCTCGCATAATTGTATGTGCTTACTTGGAAGTCTCAGAGCAGGATCTGCAATCCATAATGAGAAGCAATCTGGAGAGAAAAACGTACATAGCTTCTAATAAAGTCTGCCAGGCTTACAGTAATACTTTCCTGATGTGGAATCACCAGACCATCTGCAGATAAGGTTTTAATTATTATTTACTACCCCACTTCTCATATACATCAGTAATAGCTTTCTGTTCATTTCCCACGTCTTCTGTAGTTCTTTTAGTCTATTTTTCCCCCCACAATGACCAATTTTTGTAAAAAAAAAAAAGGTATGAAAATAAATGGTCACCATTAATCATTGTTCCGCAGTAGCAGGGTAGAAAGCAGGAAGGTGCCTGCGCAGTCAGCCCGCTGCCTTGTCTTGGGGACAAGGACTCCAGCCTGGAGATGACACGAGTTCTCAGGAGTTTGTAGGGTGGGGAAGGTTACAGGACTGCACACAGGTAACTGTGGCTGCTGGTTTTGTGCGCTGCACACAGCATCCCTCGTTTCCCAGTACGGGGATGTGTTTTCATTTTAAACTCTAGCGCAGGAAGGCGGGGGGGGTGGCCTGCTCCTCTTCTGTAACTTCAGTGTATTTTTTTGCCATTGGGTCAGCTGCAAAGCAAAAGTCCGGATCTCTTAATCATGTATTGCTTTGCAGGGGCGTAGGTCAGAAAGTTGTTAAGTGAAGGATGAAGTTCAGCATTTTCCTAATGATCTTTAGCACTTACTAGCATTTTTGAGAGACTCAGGCAATGCTTTTAGTCTGATGTTGGTCCTGAGGAATAGGGTACAACTATTTATTCGTATTTTATGGACAAGGCACACAGAGGCTGTCCAGGACAGAACAAGAAACAGCTTCATCTAACCTAAGCCTTGGAGCTTTATCTTGTATTTTGGAAATAATCAACATCCATTGGCCTGGTGGAGGAAACTGGGGAATAGCAAATACTGGAGCATACAAAAAACATTTTTCCAGAAGGAATAATAAAAGCAACATAAAAAAGGTAGCATCAGAAGTACTGAATGCCACACAGCAATATTTGGGTCTTTTTATACTATAATCTAAACATCACTTTACCTTGTCTTGGAGCTTACAATTTAGAAACAAACAGTGGTGCAGCATTACAAAACCTGGACCATCTGCAGCTCATCCCTGCGCTCACTGCTGTAACCCAGGCAAGACAACACAAGACACCCGTATTCAGCTCCTGGCTTCACTGTAGACATCCAGTGTGACCACAGGATGCCCTTTGTCCCAGATTCTCATATAAAAAATAACACTATTTTTCTAACCCCCCCTCCCCTCCAACGTAATGTGAAAAGAAGGGTCGTTGTGTGTTTACCAGCTGTGCTGATGAGAGGCAGGTATTCCCTTCTTACCGAGAGGGTGAAGAATGATATGCTCCGGTGGACACACCACGGTTACACACTCCGGATGACCAGCAAGTGGCTGAAAATGATCTCCTCATTGAACCAGTGGCACTACTTCAGCTATTCCAGGAGGCGAACGATGCTTCCGACTGGGAACGAATGGATGTGCACCCGGGTCTTGGATCCAAACGCTGCAGATACCATGACTCCACAAAGGAAACTCAGATCAAAACCAACCTCTTTGCAAGGCAGGAGGATGCCACTGTGCCACCACGTCTCTGAGCACTCCCAGGCCGTACCCTGCCCCTCTGACCTCCTCCTCCTCGGAGTGTGAACGGGCATCAGCCCTGCACGAACCCCCGTGAGCCAGAAGGACATGGAGGAGGCAGCAGCCGCAGCGTCGTCCTGCCGAGAGCAGGGCTGCCACGTGCAGCAGGAGGAAACCGAGGGAGATGAACAAAACCACTATGCTCTGGTTGGGTTTTCTCATCTTATGGTTTGGTGTCCATCCTCCCAAAAAAAAAACTCGCTAGAGAGACTTAACAGCATTTACATGCCCCGTAACATTCACTGCTAGGTCACACCCCGCAGCGGGCGCTGCCTGGAGAGAGCGCGTTGCTGGGGATGGCAGGGAGCACAGGGGGTTTCTGTACGCTCGGCTTGTCCTTCCCCCAGGGAGGTAGAAGCAGCACTGCTAACAGAAACACGGAGACAATGTTTTGTAGCCCAGGAAAACCCCGTTTCCAGTTTGTTTCAAGTTCTCATCTACTGATTTTCTTACATCGAAATACAAGATTTATTCTCCCTACAAGGAGAGATTTTTAAAGCAAGTTAGGGCTCAGTTTGGCAAGAAAAGTGAAAAAAAAAAAAAAGAAAAGAAAAGAAGTTTTTGTTGGATGAAGTCCCAGACATGGTGCTTTGTCTGTATAGAGACTGAAGTGGGTCACAGTGAAAAACATGTAGAAAAAATGCTGGTCAATGATTCTGGCCCTCTTCAGGTAAAAGCATAGGGAATCTTTGACTTCACAAGTGTGCGAGGAAGATGCTTCCCTCACATTTTACCAGAAAGACACTCCTGAGTGTTAAGTAGCACTTATATTCCCCAGCTAGAAATAAAAGCAGATCCTGCCAGCGAGCGCATTGCCCAGCAAAGCAGAGTTTCGCTGGACAGGTGAGGTTGTTTCCTTCTCCCATTCTCACTCCACGACATCTTCATCAGGGACTGGATCAAAGGAGAGAGCTTGCATACAGCTCTACAACCTGTTGTATATGCTTTCTCCCCCATATCCTGGTACATCAAAGAATTTGAAACAACAGGAAAAAAAAAGCTTCGAGTAATTCTAGAGTATCAATACAGCTACTCACAGATCTCAGTGAAACGGAAGGGAATTAGGCTTGGATGAGCAGCTGTAGTGTGGCAGGGGACCTTACCACAGTGTTGGACCATGCCAGTCATTCAAAATCTGGTGATTTATTGAAACCAATGGCATTTTTTTGGCTGAGGCATCTAGAGAAGCAGTGCAGGAGACAGCTGTGTCAGTGAAGTCAGCAGTGTGGGAGTCTTGTCTCCTCATTAAATAAAAAAAATAAGACCTGTAGAAGAGGCATTTTCCTGCCACTAGTCTTTGAGGTCGGAAGTTGCAACATGAGCCACTGAACTTCAGCTCTGAGAGAAGAGGGAAACATCTTGTTCTAGCCCCTGAAAGTTGTCCTACATCTTGTCCGTGAGAGAGAGTAAAGAAAGCAGACAGGGTGTGCCGTGGAGTCTGGGAGGACCACTGCTCAGCAGACATGGGGAAGTCTCAGGGTGGTTTGAAACATCCAGAAGCTCCCTGAAGGATAATACCAGTAGGGAAAAACAACCAAAAAACCCCCAACAAAACCAGGTCCTGCTTTGAAACCACTCCCATAAGACTTTTTGCAGTCTGTGAGGACGGAGGAGAATGAAGGCAAAAGCACCCTTGCTGGGCACATAAGCAATGATCTCTCCCTTGCCCCTCCTTCAGGGAAAATCCCCTCCTAAGTCAGGTTTCTGTCCAATTCTCTGCACAGCCCATTCCTTGCTCAGGGCGACCCTGACACGGAGCTATGAGGAGAAACAGCATCAGCTCTTGTGGCAGCGATGCCTAGAGAGGCCCCCCACGGCAAGGCACGCTGTTGAGATCAGTACTTCCCTACTGCTGCCACCTGGGCAAAACCAAGATCCTTGGGAAACATTTGAAAGACAGGAGAAATAGTGGTTTTTCCCCCACGTCAGAACCTGCTACCGTATTTTACACATTTGTTAAACAGGTCTGAAAAAAACTTGCAGAAGGAAAGAAAAAAAGGCACCTTTCTGTGCTGGACCTGCACATTAAACACTCGCTTCCAACTACATCCTCTAGCAACTATTACCGTAACCTAGCATGTAGGAGGGAGTATAGCAGGCACAGACATGTGCACAAGTCAAATACTAACTGCAGAAACCAATTAATCCCCCTGAGTTACCTTAAGGGCAGTACACAGCTGACAGATCTGCTTGCAAGTACCAGAAACTCCCAGGCTGGTTTCTGTAAAGCTTACACTCAGGTATTCCCTTTTCTACCCAGTTATGTTTCTTCTACACTGTATTTTTCTAATAATGAAAAAAATCTTCACAAAGCTGCTTTGCAAGAAGCCCTATTAAAGATACGTTCATCACGTTGTGAGAACTTGCCATATCAATAGTATGTTCTAAGTACCCACAGAGGAATTGTTGCAGTGAAATCGAAGCCATGCTGTGAAAAGCAACCCAAGTATCACCTATTAGCAAGGGCCACTATACCTGAAGTAAAACATTACTGTAGGCTCAGACTCCAAAGTTCCTCCTGAGTTAAATCACAATGACTGCTATTTTTCTCCATGGGCAATAAAAAAAAGCCCAAAATAAGCAGCCATAATGAGCAAGTGGCTTTAAAAGCAAACCCCTCAAGCTCCATTGAAGCGAACACAGTTGACTGGGAAAAGAAACAGTTCCTCTCATTTGTCAAAGGAAGGTCTCTCTCCCCTTGCTGTCGCTGCCAAGAGCTCTTCCACGTGATGGGGGAGTTTGGTGGCTGTAATCCCCTTCATCCGGATGGCCTGTCAGAGCTTACAGGCATTCCTTAAAAATAGAAGCAACCTAATGCCGGTTCAGCTAATTTAACAGAAGTTTCTACAAAATCACATGGTTCTTTCACAGCTAACAGGCAATAATTCATGGCTGTGACACAAAACGGTCTGCTTCCTCTCTTGCCACCAATTTCACAGATGCATTCCTTGCTCTGTGTTGATACAGGCTGCTGTTCTGCAGTTATTTGCATCTCTCCTCTTTCACTTGACGCTGTTTTATTAGCGGCTGGGGACGCTGACTCACATGCAGATCCCATTGGAATTATTACTTGCACCCTTTGCACAGCTCAGTGGCTGTATGGCACTAACAGCTGAATGAATGGGATGCAGCACCATTCTCTCACCATTACGGGTTCATACCCCAACTAGTTGCAATAGCAGCTTTCATGAGAAAGACAGAGCAGACAGCTAGAAATTGTTTCAGGCATCTGTCTGATCTGCTATGTGCAAGTCACCATCCTATATAATACAGCCTGAAGAAGAAAAATCCAGGCTTTCATTGTAGCTGTTGCCCAAGGATCATCTCCGAAGTGAGAAGATGCTTTGGGGTACAGCTACCCCCTTTGCCAGCCTAATGTCAAAGGACATCTGCGTAACTGCTGCTGGCGCATGTACCTTCCTATTGCCCCTTCACCGCCCATTGTCTATCAATGACAAGTTACTGAAGCGATGACAGCAGCAGTCTGTCTGACCTGCACTTTAAGAGTACTGAAGATACGGCAAGTGGCATATGTTTTGGATGAAAGTATAGCATTTATTGTAAGATGCAAAAGTTTTCATTCGATTAGCTGATACAGTAGGAGAAAAGCAGAGAAGCCTCAGGCATTCAAAGCACAGTTGCTGAAGCCACGCTCGATTTACATTGCTTCGCCAGCAGTGTGCGCACGTAGCCAGACACTGAAAATAGCTGCCTCTTTGGGTTTGATTCCCCATCACTTCTAACACACACACCATCCTCTTTACAAGAGGCAGTGGTGGGGAATATTAACTGCACGTCTGCTTGGACAGCGCTAAGAAGAAATGTCATGTTATACGTAGCCCACCGTCTTGAAAAGCTCAGGCAACAGGGGCTGGAAACAGCAGCATCTTCTCAGCACATGGTTTAACCAGTTAATCAGTTTAATCAGTTTACCCCAATGTCCTTTTGAAATGCTGTTTGATAACCAGAGAGAAAACAATGACAGACTTCAAGTTTTCACGTATTTTATTTACAGGCCGCACAATACATTTTATATACAAATGGCTTAAAATAACAAAGAGTAAGCAAGCTGAAGCATAACAGTTTGATTATTTTCAATTAGGTTGTCTTGAAATAACTCCTGCAATAAAGTATTCTTCACCCTGATAAGCAAAAGTTAGTTTGATTTTTAGTCAACCCAAGGTCATATCATTTTTAAATACACAATTCAAATCAGTTTTCTGGTGATTCCTTAATTTCATGACACACTTCCGCATATCTAGAACATCCCAAAACTATCAAGAAGGGAAATAGTAAAAATTTCCCCACGTAAATAACAGTGTTAACAGAATAGACTGGAGAAATGTTGTATGTAAAACACTTGCGTGTTTTATTAACGAAAAGAATAACACAAGAAATACATCTGAGATTTTTCTCTCTTGGAAACAGAATTCATGGTCTGAGATCTAATTTGCCCGCAGACAAGAGGTATCCTATGTTACTTCAGTTCTTACCGCACAATTATCTATTAAACTCATCCAACTGTAAACTTCACCAAAACAGAAACTGGCTCCTGCACCAAGCAAAAGGAGAAGAGCACTCAAAACTGTAAGAACTTATATTACAGCACTTATCGCCTCTGCTTCTAGAAAGCACCTCACACTACTGTGATATGGGGAAATTTTAACATAGACCATGTTTTATGGAAACATAAGAAAATATAGAAGTTTGCCATTTAAAAATTATTTTTCCAAGAAATTATATTAACATTTAAGGATACATGTATTTTTACACCTCTTCCCTAACACTGCTTTTTCTGTTCAAGGTAACAACAACAACTAGCAATCCATGATAAAAGCTGTTTCCTTTTCCTTTGGCTGTTTTTCAGTATAGTCTAAGCGTTTTAAGTCATGGTCATAGCAGTCCAGTCGTGCTCGCTTTCTTCCTCTTGGTATGGCTAAAGACCACTTAATATAAATAATGAAGTACTTGCTACTTGATAGTCCATGATTATGGTATTTTGCTATGTTTATTTAGAAATACAAACACACAACACTTACTTTTTGATGTAGTGTCCAGGTCTCTGTAGCACACTTTGGAATTGCAGCACAGAAAGTGTAAACCCAAAGGAATAGGGGGGGAAGTAACAAAAGCCACGGCTCCACAGAAAAATAATGCGGTTTTCAGAATGTCTACTACTGCATCAAAAAAAAAAAATGCAAGAACCACATGATGTAAAATGACTCACTCTGCCAAGTGATTTAATTCAAAAGAAATGTTGATAGATAATACACAGGTCCAATAAAAATGAACGTGGATCTATGGTCCTTAGATCCAGCCAGTTCCCTGGCTGCTAACCTGCCCAGACGCAACTCCGGGGCCAGGGGAGCATGGCCGCGGGCAGAAATCCTCCTGCCGCCCCCTGCAGAGGGAGGGCAGAGCTCCTTACCCACACACAGCCCCTACCTGCCCGGGAGGAAAGGTTGTCAGTGAAAGAGCCAAGAAGATCCTCTGGGTTGCAGAGAAGGTAATCTCTTCAGAGTTATCACATATGGGAATATGTTAGTTTTCCCTCCAAATTATCCCAACACTGTTGTCCCAGGCAAATACAGCGTTCAAAGTCACGGGCTACTAATCCTTAAACTGAATTTGGGGAAAAGTCATTGTGCAGTATGCACCTGCCACAGCGTGCCAAGAGTTTTCTTTCTGATTCATCTGGAAGTCAACTGCCTATTGCACGTCCTTCTCTCTCCTCACAGTCAGGGTTACTTGTGCTGGGGTTTTGTGGGTTTTTTCATGGCTGAAGACTGAAATCCATTTTGGCAGAATGATGCAACGTCAGATTACTGCCAGCCCGTAAGGAAATGGCACTGTCGTTTACACGTGCAGAGGGGACTGACTTCTCTGCATTAAATGAGGTGAACTAAATGACTTGAAAATTTACCTCCAAAAGGCAAGTGGTAGGAGACACAATGTCTTCCTTGCATTTTTGTATTGGAAGTAAAATTATTTATTCTTCTGAGATCTACCTTCCATTTGAACTTACCTGCTTTTTCAGCCAACTATCACCTGCAGTTACATTTGAAGTGCAGGAGAGTGACACCAGACTGCACATTTTTAGTGAAAGCAACTGCCTAAGAGCTTTGAAAGTCTTTTGCTTGATTCTGGAAAAAAGCAATCTGTGTGTATCACTGTAGGACTGGGTTGGTTTTTTTTTTTAAGATTATTAAACAAAAAGCCTTAGCTGACACTGTCTATATCTAAATGACACTCAGGATTTTTGCCTTTAAAATTTTACTAGCAGAAAAATGCTACAGGGTCTCCTTACTCAAGGAAAACTATCCAATGCACTGTCATTCACACACAAAGCTTCTGTTTTTCTTAAGCACAAGCTATTCAGGTTGTAAGTATTTGTTTCTGACCGAGCCGCTTTTATTTTCAAATCGCAGGATTTTCTACTGTGTCTAATGAAGGCAACTGCCAGACTTACAGGGACATCGTAAGCAGCATGACTCTCTCTCCATTTCTCATCTGCCAGATCCTCAAACACTACGTTGTTAGAGAAGTGAGTTTCTCCATGCTCTACAATGTGGTAGGTTAGCCATATACAAACCAGGATTTTCAACTAAAACAAAACAAAACACCAACAACTTTGGCTTCTATTCTGAAAATCCAAAAAGTCACTGACAAGACTACGTTTGTAATAGTGTAAGTAGAAATTTTACTTTTTAAAAAGTAATAATTAAACACTCAGTTACATAAGGTACCGATTTGTCAACTGGATAATCAGTTGGAAAATTGTTTCCAATATGGGCTTTAAAACATTCTTTTACGTACATGCAAAATATAACCATACCTCCTCTCTGCAGAAGAGAGACCACTTGTTGTCAAAGCAAAAAAAAACATGCTGGAAGTTGTAATTAATATGAGGAGTGGCTCTTGGTAAGAGTTTTAACTACAGTCATTTTATCAGTTGTTCAGAGAGATTCAATTCCAATATTAAAATGTTCTGTGGAATAGCAGATATAAAATTGATTAATTGGCACAATCACAAGTTTACAGAGAGTTAGAACTAGTGTCAAACATTTTGCCGTTGCTTTAAATACTGGTCATTTTTCCTTTGGTTACTTCCTATAATGCAGTATTTGTGGTAAAAAGACAACAGTGTCAGCTTTTCACACAAAGTAAACTAATTACTGCTGTTGACATTTAAGAGAAAAAACTATTTCATCACTTGGTAAGGACATATAAAGTATAGTTTATTTGGCAGAGGAACTAAAACACTTACTACAACTCCAAGAGGGAGCTGAGGAAAAACTACACTCTTCATTCTTCTCCTCACTTTCAAGGTTTCTCATGAAGTTCAATTTGGAAATTATGATTTCACCAAGATAAGATTAGGTCTCTAAATAACTGGCCCACCTGAAGTAAACAGCACAAGGTTATGACCTATTTGAGTTGCCTATTATTATCTGAAATTTTATGTTAACTACCTAGGTTTAGGTATTATTTTCATATCAATCTATAAAGTACTTCCAAATTTTTGCAGACCTTAAGCTTACATGTTAAGGCACTTACCATTCAAGTAAAACAGTTTTTATATAAACAAGCCTGGGAGATGGAGAGAACATTTTACTAGAACATCTATTCTTTTTTTTTTTTCTTGAAAGAAAAAAAAAATAACATTGACCAAATATTTATAAAATTTTGCATCAAGAGAAAGGTTGTGTTTTATTATCTGAAATGAGCACAAAGTACACCTTCCACGATAACACTGAAAGCAGTGCAAAGACTGACAGTGACCTTTGACTAAAGGTAGTTCTGTAAAAAGAAAAATACCAAATAAATCAGTGCCCTGCTTTGATTGTTGTAAAATTTTTTTTTACATAAAAGTTGGTCCAAACTTACAAAAAAAGCACAAATGTGCATAGTTCAGAAGATCTGAAAGAGTGCCATAAAAAGCTGATGTCCCTAAATTTAGCATCCACTTAAAACTGCCAAAATACAAAATAAAATTCAGAACTAGAGTTTGTGAACATGTACAATCAATTTATCTAGTTTTCCGACAGCATGAGTTTTAAGCATTTTTAATTTTTCCTACTGTATGCAAGACCCTTTTCCACATAAAAATAAAGCTGTTGAATTAACATTATTCAAGTCTGTTGAATTGCTGCTTTAAACTGCAGCTAGGAAAAAAAAAAAAGTTTTTCCAGATAAAAATGATGTGCCTGAGGAAAAACAGATACTCAATATGGTAATCCTCTGCCTCGCCCTCTCACTGCAGATGTGCTAATGTGTCCCCTGTATCCTTGGGAATAGCCAGGTCCTTGGGCAGGAGAAGTCCAAGTCTGTCCATGCATGTGGCTGATGCCACTGGGATTTTCCTGTAAGTTACTTCCGTAGTTATAGTTGTGCATCTTCGTGGGCAAAGAGTGCGTACTCTCTGGCCCTGCAGAAGCATCACTGCTGCTCCCCAGAACCGGAATTGGGCCCTGGCTGTATTCAAACCTATGGTCTTTATCTCCACTAAATAGCATGGGGCCAGTGTTGAGGTAAATGTCTCCATAACTAGTTACTGAGCTGGGAAAGGATTCTGAAAAGGCCGACGGAGGAGGGCCACCACCAGAGTGAGATGAAGCAGTACTGTAGTTATCCAAAGACTGAATATCGGAGTTTCCAAGGAAGCTCCTCCTTTCTAATGCTCCTGATGATCCACTTCCTATTCCATCGCTACCGCCATAATGGGCGGATGAGAAGGAAGATGATCCAAAGCTATCCTTGTAGTCTGGGCCTGTTACGTAGGAGTCTCTAGCCTGGTAATCCACACTCGCTTGTACTGGCTCCTCCGTTGTCGCCTGAGCTTGATGCTGAGCAAGCAGCTGCAGAAGAGCTGCTTTCACTCCTGCGTGAGGATCTGCTCCTGAAGAGTTAGTTATAGGCAAATGCTGGTTCTCTGTCCGATAATCAAGGTCTTCATCAGTGAGAGGTGGAGGCTCCGGTGGTTCTGGGGGACGCTGGTCTGGAGGCAAGATCCGAGGGCGTTCTTGTTCGGGTGTTCTGTTTAGAAGCCTCATCTCAGACTGCCTAACCAAATCCTCTTGACCTAAGCAGATGAAAAATAAAAGCTTTGGAATAAAAATATACAATAACACCACCAGAAAGAAAAGGACTTTTCCTGGAACAATACAGGGGGTTGTTACTTCAGTTCTCATTAACTTCTTAGTTAAATGTATTGGTAGATTATTAATAATCTGTATTGGATGGATTATTTTGGAGAAGGCAGCTCATTTGCCTCAGGAAGGTGATGCAGGTTTCTCCTCAAAGTAATATTAGCAGGCAAACAGTTAAAGAAAAATGGTACAAGTTCCTTAGAAGAAACCAACCCAAATGTCAAGCAACATATAAACACTAGAAAATTCAGAGAGGTATCAGAAAAGATTTGCAAATAGGGATAGAAGTCTTGAGAGACCAAAGGCCACCCTATCAAGGAATAGCAAAACTTAAGGCTAAAAAAAATTGAAGAAAAAAACCCACCACCCAGGAAAACCTCAAAAAACACGCCCAAACCACTTGATATATTTCCTTCAACAGCTGCAAACACCACAGAGCAGTACGTAAACCACTATGTAATAAAACTGAAATAGCAATCCAAAAAGATCAACAACAGAGCTCTAAACTTTGAGACTATGGAATCCACTATTATACCTCAATGGAAACCTTCAAGCATGTGTTTAGGGACAGTTATGGGTTACCACTTACAGAATTTGACACTAAGAAATTGCTCTAGTCAGCATTAAAACCAAAAATAAAATACCCTCTCCCCAAAATAGGTTTTACCTAAACACACAAAATTGGCAAATTCCACCCCTGAATTTGCTAGAGGAGACTGTCTTCTCCACCACAAACACCACTAAGAAAACCCCAAAGCTCCAGAATAATGATCCCTGTAACTGCTTGATCAGAAATACTGTTGGCACTTGTGCACCTCTTAAGAGTGGGGATCATCTTTTGCTGTGTCTGCATGGCACCTGTTACAGTAAGACACAAATTCTATGATCCAGATGTCAAATGTGACAAAAATCAATTTAATCATCTCTCCTATACTCACACAGACTCATACAGTTAACATGTTAACTCTTTATCCCCAAACTGTCACGCCTCCACTGCTCAAGGCACCTGCTGGTTAGCAACAAAGACCTTCAGTACCTGCAGACGTGTATAATGACTTGATCAGATGTGGGTAGCCGGGTGCCGGAGATTCCACGTCATCCCGGCTGACAGACGCAGGAGTGGTGGGCTCTGGAGGTTGCCTGAGTTGTAATGACATTTCATTTCCTGATCCATTTTCCTTCTCCTCCAACACAAAATCTTTTTGTTTTGTTTGCTGAGCCTTTATTAACTGAGACAACAGAACAGCAAATGCACTCTGTACAGCTGCCTGGGCAGCATCAGTCTCAACTTTAGGCTGACTCAGTTGAGCAGGTGGTACAGGAGGCTGCGTGACGGTCGGCTGTTTTAGAGGCTCCTGTTCCGGTGGTGGTGGTGGAGGCGGTGGCGGCTGCTGCTGCTGTTCTGACTGTTTTTCACCTGCTGACAAAATTCCAGCAGGAAGATTTATTTTATTTAGTTGCTGCTGAGTCTCTGGGTTTACCTTAATATTCAACACTTGGGCAAACTGTGCCAAACTAACACTTGTTTTAGACTGTAGCAGGTTTAGCAGGATTGCCACTTCATTCTGGTTTAACTGCTGTCCAGTGCTTGTTTTTGCTAAAGACAAAAAAGGTGGTTTTTAAGTATTTAGAACTGGCATATTTCAGAAACTCAAAAATAAGACTAATCTAGCACGGCTGACACGACTGGCAAAGCATGGGTTTGGACAACATAGAAATGGAATGCTTTTACATATTCACTGCCTTTGGGGGAGTATCTCTAGGAAATGGAATAGTAAGATCCAATGTAAAGAAAGTGACTTCTAAGGAGTGTGCACACGCACTTGGACAGATGGGAAACATCAAGCTGGAGCTCAATTTTCCACAATACAACTAAGCTGGGGCTTAAGGCCACCTGCTTTAGGCAGCTGTAAGATTTCCAATCCCCACAAAATTTCCTATCTTTGAGATATCACATCCCCCTGCAAAACACACTTCCAGTCATATTCTGGCCCATTCTAATTCAGCATCTGGATTCTAACACCTGCTCAAGTGACCAGGCTCTAGGTGACCCAGAAGCTGGCGGTATAAATGCAAAAGCAAGTGCTGAGTTTGAAGGACAAGTCAATCAGTCAATAGCAGGAAAATGCATGTTTGTGATGATACACAATTTCTTCAATGAAATGGGAGTTTACTTGCCACAAATAAGAGATTATGATGATGCAGGGGAATATGAATAAGGAAGTCAGAATATCAAAGTAGTTTCTTAGTTTCAAACACACATTATGGTAGTTTATTTTGAAAGGAGAAGTGAAGCAGCATGGATTTCAACATGCCCTATGAGTAGATGACTTAGAGAAGAAAGTAGTTAAAAATTAAAAAATGAGCATGCATGACTGTACTGGCAGAGCCCGGGATTTTTTTTAACCCAGATCAACATGAACACATTCTGTTCTCTTCTACCCTGCCATTCTGCTAATTCACCAATATATTAATTCATAGCAGCTTCAAAGCCATGCCTGAAAAAATGGTCACAGGCAAACAAATCTTAAGTATTTGCCTTGCAAGACTAAGAGCAGCATAGCTGGAAACCACAACCCACTACCCTACTTGTAGATGTGCACCAGGATACAAGCACTTGGAACCTACTCAGGCAGGATCCAGGGACTTCAACAATTTTATATATTTACATGAATATAAAAAATAAAACCACCTTTTATTTGGCAACACAGAAAAAAAATTGTTTCTAATGCCTTGTACTGCTGGCTCTCACTCAGATGTCATGCTTAACAGTTGATTTTGCAACATCTGAGGGTGGTATGCTGAACGTTCAAACTTCTCTCAGACTCTCAGTGAAAATTAAGCAGAAAAACGCCAAACAGGGAAACTAATCTACCTCTCCCATTCTCGGTTAGTTTCAAGTCCATTCCAAGAGCAAACTGTTCTCTGGGAAATGTGGCAGTTTCTACCAGAACAGAATTATTGAGCTCTACATAACTCCTGTTAAATTGTAAGATGCAATAACCAGGTGTCCCATTCATGAATCAGAACATTAGCAATTGATCCAAGGTGTTTTTAACCTCTTCTTCTGGGGTGCTCAGAAACAAATGCAAGTTTTGTTTAAAGCATGCATTTGTATATAGAGTTCTTTAGCGTGCCTTATTGATATTATCATCTAATGTGCATTATGGCTTCCAGAAGTGTTTCTCTTAATACAGAAAACACCTCTATGCTGAACTGTCTAAGCTCCACTGAAAATTAAATTGTCTTCTACCTAGATATATTTTTCTATGTACATATGGGCAAACAGCAATATAGACCTGAATGATTCCTTCTCTATTTGTTTGGTTTATTTTGCATGGTTAGTATTAATGACTAATAAACATAGTAGTCTCTCATCGTGCTACCTGTTAGAAAAGCACAAAGAAAATAACTACTATGCTTTGGACTCTTTAAACTTCTATACAGTTTTCATTTGCCAGGGGAAAATTTTTTAAGAGCTCCAGAAAGCCATGCTGGAAAACGCTGCCAAAACTTTACCCTAAACATACGGAGTGGGAGAAGCTCACAGCTGGCTTACAGTGAGAAACAGGATGAACAGGAGCAAGAGGCAATAAATTGCAATAAAATAGGATCAAAAGAACTATTTTATATATATCTTTGCACAGACTATTTGGAGCTCTGCTCTGTTGTTAAATGAAGAGTTGATTCAAGATGGTTACTATAAAAGAATTTTCAGGCCCTCTGAATGCATTTACTGTTTTTCTTCAGCTGAACTCCTGTATCAGTGCCACAGGATTTATGGTCACTTTGCACAATCAAACATGGTCTAAACTAAACTTATCAGGTATCCATTTGATATTGTTACTCTGTATATTTCTACATATCATGACGGAACTATCACCGAACTGCTGAGTATCTCAAATGGTGTCCACATGGGAAACCATTACTTTACTTTTTATATTATATTCAAAAAATTGGGTCTCCAAGCAAGATACTTCGGTTAAGTTTCAGAATTAATGGCTGTGCAATCTAGAGGTAGCTACTTCTTCTTATACCAGGTTTTGTGGGGTTTTTTTTATTTTTTTGCATTTATTTTTTTTACAACTTGATTCAGCCCCAACAACTTGGAAAGCTGAAGGCTAACATATCATGCAGAGGGAATCTGTTTCATTTGAAATGATGATTGTTCTAAAATCTGCCTTCTGATTAGTTATCAATACCAATAAAGCTCCTCCAATCTATGGAGATTGTGAGGAACTTAGAGCAGCAGCTAACTTGGGGGATTACAGAAGAATTTAGGTAAGAAAGAGATAAAATCCCCTCAAAATACAGAGCAAGGTAGTTGCTCTGATCAGACTGAAAAATTACGTAAAACTTAAAAGGAAAACCTAGTTTCCAAAAGCAAAGGTAAACCTTTTGTAACAAAGATTTAACTTACAATACTGTTCCTCCCTCAAGAATCCAGGAGACGTCAGTACTCTGAAAATAACATCTAAAATTTCTAGAGGTGCAATCCAAGTAGAAGGTAATTATAAGAACCGAAAATATTACTGACCAAGTGCTACACTAGAGTTGCCCTGAGTTTTGAGTTGGGAAGAAGTTTGCATGCCTTGTGGGGTGTTGGTTCTGCTCTCATCCATGCCTAGAGACAGATCCTTCCTAGGGACTTTAGTTGCTGTTGAGTCATCAGTCATGCCCATCTGCTTCTGTCTTCTGCGTTTCTTACTCCACAGCTCATGGCAATCTTGCCACAAAGGAAGGCTGCAAAGAATGATTAGAGATAATCAGTTTTATCCTAAATTTTTTTTTTAAATTTATTTATTTATTTTAACCATGTTGGTAAAATAAACGCTCAAATTATACATAATGTAACTTTAGAAAGACAAACCTCCTGGAACTCGGAAATACATCAGAAAACACCCAAAGCCAGCAAAATCTCAGATATGCTTTTTCTGGCTGAAATCTGATTGCCAATTTAATGTTTTTTGACAGTTGGACTTGATGATCTTAAAGGTCTTTTCCAACCAAAACAATTCTATGATTCTATTTCAGAAGCACAGGTCCCTCTGGCAGAAAAGGGGAACACATATCTTATAATGAGAATCAATATTACTTTATTGCATTCATACTTATGAAAAGCCTAATTATTCGTGCAATTCAAGACTTCAAAATCAACGCTGCACACGTGCTACAAAACGGAATTTGCAGAGTAACAGCTAACAGAGTTATCAACATGAAAGCAGTTTTTTTCAGGGTCCAGGTGACCTTTTGTCCGCTTGTAAAAGTACTACTGCCTCATGAGTTAAAATATTTGTCCACAATATCAGACATGGCTATCTAGTATTTATAGTTGCACAGCACAGACAACCAAGAAAGTAGGGGGGAAAAAAAAGTTGCAGGAATAAATAGCTCTTGACACTAGCAAAGTTAGGATACTAGGAAGAACAAGGGATATCCCAGTCCTTTAAGACAGACAAAAGCAGAGGCAAAAGTCTCCTAAGGAAGTCAGCTGCCACCAGTTCTGTCCTTCCATTACTGTTGCCTGCAGGCATCCCAATTCTGATTTCCTGGGGAACACAGAGACTCATCTCATAGATAATGGAAATAGTGAGATAGGCAGTAAAAATAGCACCTTCTGTTTTCCTATTACATATTAGTAACTGTCTGAGTAGTTCCCTCACCCAGGAACGTGGAAAAATGAGGTGACAGATGACAAGAGCCACCGGAAATCCAATTATGACAACTGCTTCCTTTAATTTCTCCCTCCGCACACCAGATCAAAGACCTGCCAGGTATTTAGTCAAAAACAACTAGAAGCAACTAAGAACTCATTGTGAGAAGTGTCCTATGGTCCTTGCAATCAGCACTATCACTTTCTTATATGAACAGCTATTTCTTCCCAAAGTAGAACTTTCTTCTTTCAAGAGAACAGCCAACACTTTCCTGTGCACTGTCAGAAGTGAGTGTGGTTCCTCTTAAATTTTTAAAAGGACACCAACAAGAAGTTTGTTTTGAATTTCCATAGAACAGATGCACTACCAAGCCCCAGGAAAAAAACCAAAAAACAATGAACAATTTCTCCTCATTCACTTACTTTAAAATGCATGTAAGCAACAAGCTGTACAAGTGGTTCTGAGATTTTAACAAATAGTCTAAGATTGCTGATTACTGATATTCAGACAGTTATATATACATAGTCATATTCAGGCAAGGAAACCTCTTAGCCTCATGTATCAGGAGCATTAATAACAACTTTGTGCATGTAAAAGGTAGGTCTCAAAAGATTTTAAATAAAATTCTTAGATAAAACTCAAACATTTCTTCCCAGTTGGTAACTAATTAAAAAGAAGCCAGTACAGGCTACCTTGAAGGTACAATTTACTCAAACAATATTAAATGTTCTATGTTCTGACAGCTATCTTAAGGGAAGAATGAAACCTGCAGATTCTATAATACCTTTTCATTGTTTTCCTCAGAGCCTGTTCCAGTATGATTTGTACTGATTAAAATAACAATTAAGTCACTGCAAAAACCCTACTGGACATTACAATACATTTCCTCTCAGAGAAACAGACAGGAAAAACCCTGCACAAAGTATTTCACTTCTCCTGCCTGTAAAACCAAGAATCTCATCTGGCACAGGAAATGATTTATGCTATTTCACTTTTAACTCTCAGGTACCTTTGCAGAATTCTATACCCAGTGTCATTCTACCATCAAAGAAGGCAATTCAGATTCACGGAGGACCCAAAAACCCTTGGAAAAAGTAGACATTGATAAACAGAGATAAAAGGGAAATGATGTTTTTTTCAACATTAGAAACATTCATATAAGATTTTTTTTTTAAATGCACTAAGTCAGTAGCTAGTTCTAGGAATAACAAATGAAACAGTTCTTAGATCCCCACAACCAGTGCTATCGTGGTGTAAGAGTCACTCAGTTGCACAACCATTTTAGTGCAGAATCACCATTAAATAACTGCACATATTAACATTTTTGTTCTGCCACAAGCTCCTTCAACTGAAACACAATGAGCTTAATGAAATCAGTGCATGTTCCCATTTCATAGAGGTAAGGATCATTACCAAAGGAAATTACTTACTCTGGAGGAGGCATTTTAGACGGTTCCACGTCTCGCAGAAACTCGCACTGAAGAGCTTGTTCGGCTGTGCAGCGCTTGCTGGGATCCAGAGCAAGCATATAATCGAATAAATCTAATGCAGCTGGTGGGATGCTACAAAAGAGCAAAATGGAGAAAAGCATCACATTTTTGTTTTGAATCACACACTTCTCTGCAGAATTTTAATGAACGCATCCCTTCCAAAATAACTAATCATTAAGTCCTCAGATAACTTACATCCTAACAAAACCCACTCACAACTTGAGCTTGGTATTAAGAGACAAAGATAAACTTCACCTTTCACTACCTATGCAAGCATATAAGCCAAGCTTTCTTTGCTTTGTGTGGTTTAAATTGCTTGAAACATTGTCCTTACAAAACAAAACAAACAAAACCACAATCCACACCTTTTCAAGCCAAGACTGTATTGTTACTTTACACTTTGGAATTTAGCACCCAGGGAGCTGCAGTTTTGATTGGTCTCTTTGCTTTAAGATATGTCTCACCAGTATGAACAAGATGATAAATTTCCCATGAAACCCACAGTAACTGAAGGAGGGGAACAAACCCTTTAAAATAAGCTTACAGCTGTTTTCCATAACTTTCACATGTGATATTTGCACAAAACTAGTCCAATGGCTGTAGTTTAGAGTAGTTCAGGTAACTCCTCTGTGTTGAATGAATTTATGACCCAAAAGACTGCAATGTTAACCAGACTACATATTTAGCTGTAGCCAGTTGTCCTAATAAAAAACAATTAAGTACTCTGGGCTAGGTTTTGGACAGGGACAACAAGCAGGTGTACCAATCATGGAAACCAAATGTTTCCTTAGGTGAATGCTGACAAGTGGCTGAAATTTTAGGGCCACCTTCCCTCTTCATGAAGCTCCTATTAAATAAGGGTTAATACAAGCTCTGTGAGTATCATGGGAAGGGTAAGAACCTAAAGCCATTTTTATTTACACTTAATCTATGCTCATTCTCCAGAAAATAGCGAAGTTCATAAAGTCTCCATGAAAACTTAACGCTATTAGTTCAGTCAACTGTAATTCTTCATCCTTACAAAGCAAACTCTTCTCTCAGTTTTCGACGGTACTGCTTCTTTGGTTTCATTGTGTTGAAATAAGCTAATTTTATAACATCAGGCCACACTGCTGGACAAGGACTCCCACAAATTCGGCTGTACCAAAAAGAAGGGGAAAAAAAGGGTATGAGATCCAAAACCACAAGTGGGCACAGCTGTCATTTTATTCTTGCATGTACAGTCAGTACAAAAATAAATTTTTAATGTTCATGTTCTTTTAGCTAAAATTTCTCTACTGTCCCATGCCCAACACCATTAAATAATGGTGAATTGTCTACGAAAGGTAATCACCCTGCACAGATTAATCTTACTTTAAGACATCCACTGTTTCTGCCTCACCCCACCCCAAGCATCCTCCACACAAATGTTCTGAAAAACTTAACCTACTATGTCTGGACAATACTCCAGGTATTTGACTTGGATATCCCAGGTTTACAGTGCTAATTAATTTTTATGCCCTTAGCTCCCAATGCCAGTGAAGAAAGATACATCAAATGGCTGAAAAAGCACTTTTCACCAACAAATTTAAGACTAAAGAGAAGTTAGTTGACACTGAAGACATAATCTTAGTAAAGCCTAAGGGCAGAAGCAAGATCCGACCACTAGAAAACCTGTGTATTTTTTACTTCAGTTACAAGTTTTATGTCTCATGCCTCATCTGTCTCCACAAATGGAGTTGCCCATAGTCTTATTCCTCCCCATCCATCCCCACACATTTTGTCCAACTGAGGATGGCTAAGTACAGGTTGACCAACACCACACTTCTGAAGAGGCAACTCACCATACATGGAAGGTTTCAAACTCTAATGCTGGCAGTCATAAAAGGACATTTTGCAAATACATTTCCCTATTTCACTCCTCCCATTTATTAGATTTAAACAGTTAGTTTAAGAGCCTATGATCTATTAGTCATGCCCCAACCCATCTGACCTTACAGTGGTTGGGGTATGTAACTTTCAGGAGGGAAAAGAAAAATAATAAAAAGAAAATAATAAATCTATCTTTTCCTATCAGAATTTACTTCAGTTCTATCTTTGAACATCAAAGTTAGAAAAGATAAATGTAGAATTGTTGACTGTAACATGATGGTGGTAGAGATGTTGATAAAATTGATGTATTACACTTAAGCAGTCAAAAATGCATAGTATCAGTGAAGAGGAAAAATGAGCTACAAACAGGAGCTTCCACAGCAGGAGAAGGAAATTACAAAATTCTAGTTTGCTGCACCAGAGGTACAACGCAAAGAGAAAAAACTTCAGCTGACAGCACTATAACATGCTTCGACGCCATCTAGTGCTCAAATGCAAAAATTTCCCAACTCACGAGTTTAGTTCTCCTTATACTGAGAATGACCACTGATATGCTTCGCCTCTCCAAAAAACTCCATTTTTCCAGGCCAGTTAGTAATACATTACACAAACATACTACTGTTTAATCTGTTTTGAAAAACATCTCAATATATAACTTTGCAATATTTTTTATTCAATTAATTTTTAAAATAATGTTGACCGTTTACTATTCAGGTTCTGTAAGTTCTGTAGGACTCATCCTCTCTTGCCCTTGTTTCTAGGAAGAGGACCTTTCCTCACTTACGAGGTCAATTATGATATCAGAATCAAGAGCAATTTTTACGTGCTGAATAAAGGGTGGAAAAAAAGATGCTCTGGTTCCACTGAGTTATATACATATCATTCTATGATTTATTGAGATAAGGAAGGAAATAGAATTACCTCCACAAAGTGTCTGGCATTTTGTAAGGGAACAGAAATATTCCCACATAAATAATAAAGCCCAGGTGTCTATGTGGAAGGCTTGAAATAAGAACTCAAGGCCAGTAGCATGCCAAGTACCTACTCCTCGCAAATCCCGCTTGGCCTCATTATTGTCCATGTTTTTGTTTTGCTACAAGGAAGTTGTAACATCATCTTAAAAAATAACAGGTATTTTGACTACTCTCTCTTTACAACCTCAGTAACAGGCAACTCCAGCTGCTCTACAAAAAACCCTCTTACTATTCAAGTCACCATAGAATATTCACAAAATACTCTTCTCCATGTCCGAGCAAAAGTCACTTGCTTTACATGCCCATCAAAACCACTAACATCTCAGGGCAATAACTGAGTACTTGGAAATAACACAATGTCAACATTTACAATTTTAATACTAACAAAAGAAACCTGACAGTTTAAGAGGCACCTACTACGTTGCAGTGCTTGCAAGTTACCTTATAAGTTCCAGTTGAGCAAGTTCTTGATTTGCTTGAAATATTGGTTTTTTTGTAAAAAGTTCCCCCAGGATGCAGCTGTAAAACAGTTTTGCACAATTCCATCATTATGGCTTTCAACACAGATTGATAGAAACAGTTAAGATTTATTTTTGGCTTGTGTTTATGCTTGCTACTCTTCTGTACCAAACTCTTACCCACAGCTCCAGACATCGATAGCTGGCGTGTATCTTTCTTCTCCAAGCAGAAGTTCAGGAGGCCGATACCATAATGTAATAACTTTGTTGGTATATGGTCGGCTGTTGGGGAGGAGGAAAAAGAGAGGACTATCATTTTACTACGATCTCATTTCTGAAAAAGTGATATTTTGAAGGACTTCTGTGGTGCTGTTTAAGAACAGTACAATTTTCCACTCCCTTTTCCTAATTTTAGTCCTGCAAAGCTGCACTGCACAAAAGCAAACACAACCGTCTGACTGAGGCTATCAAAGGACAGACTGAAGATATAAGTAATAATCACATAGCCTTCTCAATGCTATGTGAATCCCATATCTCAATTATTATTCAGATAGAAATACTGCATATTTATTACATTGCTAGTCATTTCAGGAGAAGGACCTGTTTGGATAAAACCAGAAATTTCTGGGCAACTATTATTAGAATACCGAATGTAGGACCTCTACAAGCATTTTATAAAGACGACAAAAAGTCACTTTCCCCTCTGTAAGTAGGGGCAAAAGAGACAGAGCCTTTTTTGTGAACTACATCCTTCAACAATTTTGATTCCAAAGCCTGGAACGCTTCCAGTATCTTCCTGTATTTCACAACATCTTTAATTCTCTACAGCTCTAACCAGAAGTTTTGGTCACTGGGAATAATCCTTTCCATCCTCACATTCAGGCAAGGATTTCCACTATCTTAGACACGTAATTTTTTTGTGGACAGGTTGAGATACAGCATCAACAGAACAGTTCACAATGGAAGGCAGAAAACAGATGTTAAGTTTTGTGTTTGCTTCAGCCAAGGTGTCTTAAAAGTGATTCCAAAATTCTTTCAGTTTTAATAATTCCCTCTTACCAATACTATGTAACTCCAAATTGAAAGCAGAGTAACATCAAGTGCAGAGTTTGAACAGCCATAGCATAAAGTCTAACAAGCTCTTATAACATACTCAGTGGTACAGGTATCACTTCTGCAAAATCACCCAAGTCTTTTTTTCATTAAGGAGCTCCCCAATTAATTTTTAAAATGTAGTATGTTTTTGGAAACAATCCCATCATTTGTTGTATTTATCTCTGAAGCAATTATTCCTCTATGAAATGTTTACATGGTATGGACTTTCTCTACAGATACACCACTCATATATTAGTATACAGTGCTTTTTATTTGAACAGATGTTTTCTTACACAATCTGTCATATCTCCTACTCCAAACATATTAAATCCACCAGAATAACATTTAAAGGAGCACAACTACAACAACCAATGGGAATTTACTTAATTTACAATTTACAATGGGAATTTACTTAAAATGAAATTTTAATTTCTTTCCTATTATGTTCCTAGTAAATTCTGTTCCCTTCTGAAAAGTATATAATTTTAAACAACAGAAAAACAAATGTAAAATACATGAATTTAAAGCAGCAGCTATTATACACTTGTCGGTATACATTAATTACACCCAATACTGCAGGTCAGAAGCTAGTAAGAAGGAAAATGAATGACAAAAGAATTGTCAAAAATCTACTAATGAGATTCTAATTATCCTCCCAAGTTCAACTGGCAATTCTATTCGTTAGTAGAACTACAATTTAATCTTGGCTTCATTTATGTATAATGGCATAATAATGTTGCTGTTTGATATACAGTAAAATCTGTTATTTGCGCTATAAAGACACTGAACTTTTCAATCGTTCAATTCTTAATGAACAGAGTTTTACAAGCAACATTTAAATTAATTTAAAAACAGACATTAAACCCCCCCATGGTAAATCAGAGAAGAAAAAAATTAAGTCAATTTGGTGCATGTTAAAATAAGAAGGTAGGATGGCATCAATCCCTTTTATTATAAGTACATCCAAACAAAAAAATAATTACCCAGCAGCTGCTTAAGATTATCTTACCCTGCTACTATATTCAACATTTTTCATAACTGTACTTAAGCATATGTTCCTGAAAGAACAGCTCAGAAGACAGTGAAACTAATGCTATCAGATTCAACAACAAGCTCAGAGCTCTGTGAGAAAACAATACACTCATAGAGCTAACATTATAGACATTATTTCCCAAATCAGGTATGCAGAAATCAAAGTAAGCTCAGGTAGCTAATATTCTCTGTAGCCAACCACCCGATGTACATACTAGTGTAACGAACATTTGGCCTGAATTTTGAAAATCCAGTTCCACATGACAAATGCATGACATTACAATATAAATACTGAAGTTCTTAATCATAAAAACTGTGCACCTGTTTCCTGGAGTACAAACATAACGAAGCCAAGAACAACAGAAGCACAAGTCACAAGAAGTTTCAGAATAACTTTTATTTAAACTCATATCTCTGTTTCCAGCAGATTCAACAGCACTGACTGCCTAAAGAATACAATGAACCTCTTCAAATGTAAGGTTAAATCTTACACAAAAGTAATGCCTTTTGAAAAGAAATTGTGTACGAATTTGTCAGTAAAAAAATTTCACTTTCCCTAAATAAACTTTTCCTAGGTATACCAACAGAAAGAATGTACTTTACGTTTACAAGACCAGAAACTAATAGTAAAAATCTACATATCAATGCACCTACTTAGGACTGCAACTCCTCATTTCCAATCAATATATGGCCACTCTCTACAGTTATTTACCCAGAACACTTGGAAAAGCAATACACTTGCACAAAGAGAGTTTTGTGGCTTTATGCAGTATAAGACAACGTGCACTCTCCATTTCCTAAGCAATTACTTGTATTACAGTACAATAACATCTGCTCTAAACAGTCTTATTTTCTGGCCCTCAGAGTTATGTAAAAAGATTAAACTTCTGAATGCTTTTTTCACAGTATAATTATATCTTACCTTTCTTCTGAGTTGTACAGCCGAGCAAGCCCAAAATCTGCAAGCTTTATCTGCCCTCTGGTGGAAAAAGCAAAGAATTATTTGGTGGTTAATGCTGTTAAGATTTCCTCCCCAAAAATCAGGTGAAGTTTGAGATTAAGGCAGCTGCAACTGATCTTCACCAAACCACATTAATGAGGAAACATCTTAGAACCTATACCCTCTTCAGTAAACAAATACACTAACCTACTGAATATCAAAGACAAGTAAGCAAAATTAGGTATGCTCATCAAATGGCATTTACATCACCAGATGTTAGTAAAAATTCAGGTGCAAACTGTAAAGCATTCAAGTCAGTAACTCTGCAAGAAAAAACGGAGGGAAGAAACTGCAATTTTCTCATGCCTTACTGCTAGTATAAGCATTTGTACAAACAGCAGTCGTACTTCCTTCTAGGAAGCCATCAAAGCCCTGTTCTGCTCTTGTAAAGTTTAAATACAGCATTTAAATCAGGGTGAGCAACCAGATAAGGGTTTCTATTTTTGTCAGCAGCCAACTTGCTGAATGACACAACCCCTAACCCCTTCTTGAGTTTTCCCATATATGAGGGGAAGAGTAGAAGATACAGAGCTTTGCCTGGCAGTTTCTACAGCTGAAAGGCACTGCTCAATCCCCAGAATCCCTCACCATCTATAAAGTCTGGAGGATTTAAACAGCTACCTGCAAGCTTCTGTAATACATGAAATGAATGTTGGTATGTTACACAGGGGTTTTGTTTTTTCTGTACGTATGAGTTGTAAAACTCTCATCACTTTCAAATACATGCAAATGTCACTTTCAAATAAATTTTATCAAATTAGGGCAAGACTTGCTGATGTGTATAAGAATGACCATCTTGTGGTAATAAAATATACAGATTGTTGTTTCCTTTCTTCCCCTCAGATGTGTGCTTGGAATTGCTGTAACACTTGGAGAACTCACATAAACAAAGAAATGTTCCCCTCAAATTTACATGTTTATTCCTCAGAGAGCTTATTTGTGGAAGATAAATGTCTTTGCTCAAAAATTCATTGAAGTTGCACATCTAAAAGATCTATAATCCCTGTGTTTGGCTGCAGGCTGTAACTAGTAATGGTGTTTTATAAACATTAGCTTAAAATTATTCAGATCAACTATGAACTTTTTCTTCTTCCAGTGGAAATGTCTAAGGATGCTCAAAAAATATCCTTGGGGAAAAAAACTCTGTATCCTGGAGCAGAGAGCACAGTACAACAGAAAACTCTACCACTACCATAATGCATTCTTCTCCACTGCCAGGTTACACCTCAGCTTCTGCGTTCCCAAATGCGCACAGAGACAGCACCACCACTGGAGATGAGCAGGCAAGCAGGATTAGGTGAGCGTGCAAAAGGAGTGATGTGGACACATGTGTACATCTGTTTAGGGGTCCGTATCACAATCCAGAACTGCAACTAATCTAATGTTAATTTGTTATAAGAAAAAAAGGAGGAGAAAATGGAAAATTTAATTTGGAGTAAGATGGGACAAAACTAGGGCCCTACCAAGAAGAGATCCTTGACTCATTTTGCCCAGTATTTCATCTCCAACAACAGCTAAGCAGATTTTTAGGGAAAACATGTGAACCTGCTCACTTTGGGGCTCACCTTCCTTGTACTTCACCACCCACAGTCACGGTGTTAAGGAGGCTAAAACCAAGTATTCCTGTCTACTCCCTTTAGCAGCTGTTAATGATTCTGCCCATGAATGTGTCTCGTCCCTTTTTGAATCTCCGGTCACTACCCTGGAAACCTCCTGTGACAACAAATTCCAGAAGCTGACTACCTGCTCTGTAAAGATACTCTTTTTTTGCTGTAATAAACCTTGCTCCTACGGTTGCTCCCTGGTTTTAGTACTGCTGGATCTGGTAACAACAGTTCTGTACTGAAGTTACCCACTATGTTCACATAGGCTTTTTATTTGCTGCTGTTGCATGCTGAACAAAAGCGAGTTTACTAATATGATTTGTAATTACAAGAGGTTAAAAAAGAAACAAACTCTTCTCCCCATTTCATTATGGCTGTAACTGCAAGCCAAAGCATGTTTGAACATGCCTGATGACATATTATTTTAAAGCATTATCCTGACTGATAAAGATGAGGACCTCAGAATTATGTCACAAAGAACCAGCCTAGCCACACTTCATCTTGAACTGAGATTACAAAAAGAATACACATCAAACATTTATTTCCTAAAATTCTGCTTTAATATATTTGAACTCAAGATAATTTCCCCCCACTCTGACCTAAAAGATTCAAGTTTTAATCCTGCTGCTTTAACACAGGGAAGTTTAACAAACAATTGTAGGATCCAGTGTTAAGCAGTAACGTGACCAGATCAGTATTTTACAATTGATTTTAAAGAAACCAGACAATCTAAAAAAAAAAAAAAAAAAAAGTTTTGCTAATGACAAAGTGAACTGTGCAGATTAGAAGAAAGATTTAAAGATGTTAACACACAATTTTTTTATATACTTGAAGTAATATCCATACCTATTATTTAGTAGAATATTTGAACATTTGATATCCCTGTGCAAAAAGTTCTTCTTATGGCAATAGGCCAAGCCCTCCATCAGCTGTCTCATAAATGATTTAATATGGTTTTCATTAAAATGAACCAAACCAGATTCCAGCAGTCCCATCAAGTCATGGTCCATATATTCGAATACCAGGTAAAATGCACCTAGGAAAAGAAAGGGAAAGGGGAGGAGAAATAGAAAGAGAGAAACTGATTTAACAGTAGTCCAAAGCACTGCTGCTCCCTACTTTTGAAAGCTGGAAGTATTTTCCACACAACTATTTACATTTTCTGCAATATTTATAGCTGTACCTCATATCCAATAACAACAATGAAGTATAGTGCAGTAAAATGTTTTCATAATATTGGTTTTTTCCAGATAAACAATTATTCTAGTCAAATGTTTGTGAAAACAAATATAATTCTACCACATGGCACTTTAATCTAGAGGCACATGTACTCTCCCTATTGGGTCTCCATCGCCATCCATTTTATTTAAAGAAAAATTAACTGGGTTAATATACCCTGTGTAAAGTTTGTGGAGAAATCTAGAAACAAAGTATGTACAGCATTAGTTCATCTTGCATGAATCTGTGACTGATTTTTTTAAGCTCTTAGTGTGAAATTAGGTCAGAAATAAGCCTGCCCTTTTCAGACTAGAAGTACCTATAAGACAAGACAAAATGAGAAAGCATAACTAACCTAATAGCAACAGCAGCTCTGTAAAGATGAGTTCATATTCCAAGCTGCCACACACATACATTAAGCATAATAGAATCTGGTCTTATCTCACATTACCCTGTGTAATTCCACAAATAAAGCTATTAAAATGAAGGCTTTTTGATATAAATAAGTATTATTGAAGAGGAAAACTGCTGAGTACTTCAGAAGCAGCAATAACCAATCTCCAGCACAAACACCCTGAGAACAATCTACTTCTCAGTACTTAATTCTTCCCCTTCTTCACTCTGGGGCAGAGAAGACGGCGCAATCCCTGTAGAGCACTGGTGGCAATGCAGAAAACACATTCAAGCGGGTCCATCCACCTTCCATTTTCAAAAGCCTCCCCCAAAAAAGATTTCAAAGCCACCACTCTGAAGTGCAAATAGCTTCTGCCCAACAAGAACTCATTGCAGGTTTTAGTTCCTAAACAAGAAGTTTCAATTCAGAAGCTAGTGAAAGTCTTGGAGCAATAATGACAAGTCAGCTTGCCAGAACATACATGCAGACAGCCAAATTCTAATGAACTGACTTGTTTTCTTGCACAGTAGCTGAAAAGGGAAGAAAGAGTGCTAAATCCATCTGCTATTTAACAAACAGAAAAAAGATTACTTAAACTTATAACAAAGATCAGCGTAGAGCAGCTAAACCACAGGCCATTGCATAACACACTCTGGGTTCATAGTTTCAAATTTAGGTCCTTTTGTCCTGCTGTATGTTATATGGAGGAAGTAAAATACTGATCATAAAATACCCGATAGTGTGCACAGAGGAAGTGGAGCAGGAGGTAAATCCAGCAGGTACAACCTGATCCCACCACTTCAAAAAGAAAGGAGGAAGTATTAAGAGCCATAAATAACTAAAAGAGTGCTAATACTGGCATAACTGAGTTAATCAATGCAGCTCACCAGATCAGCATGGTAAAAGCACAGAGGGTCTTAATCTTGGTCTTTTAAACCAAGATAGCTGGCAACCTGGTGTTAGGTCTACTTCTCTGACAGCTGAAGTATGAACCATGACGTATTTTAAGATGCCTTGAAACAAAACACCTGTTATTAATGCTGCAGTGCCAGAATAGTCTAGATACGCCCTTCAGAGGACGTTAGCTCAACAAAATTGAATACCAATGATCTTGGTATCTTCTTTGTCTGGAATACACAGGGAAGTTAACTCTGTCATGGCAGCAGGCTACACTGTGTGTACATGACAGGAAAAAAGACTGTGAAGGGTCGGTGGGATTGCACACTTGTTTAGTAAGAACAGCTGAACCCAGGTTTTCTTGTTTGTATGCAAAGTAGGCTCCATGCCTTGAGCAATTTCCTGCTCTGCCTACTAGCTAATGGAATTTTTCACCATTATTTATAAGTAGCAATCACAACTGTGATTACCCTCATGCAAGAAGGAAAGCTGACAACAATGGAGACAATTCATAAATAAAAGAATAGTACCTGGGAGATGACATTTAATTATTTATATTCTCTGCAACTCTCAAAGAAACACACACTAGCACAATGTAAATGCTAAATGTTCCTTCCATATTAGAGCAAATGCACAGATCCATTACACTTACGCATTATTACCTACCTATACAATGTTAGAATTTGTTTTAAAAAGAAAAACTGACAAAGCTGAATCTTCATTGGTTATGAGAATCTATTAAACCTAGTCTACTAGCTATGGCAGTCTAACCACTAAAACCTGATTTACAGTATTACTCTAACTATATTTGGAAGCGATTGTAGCTGCAAAGAAGGCACAAACTGAAGTGAAACTTCTGTTAGTTTATTTCTAGACAAATGTGGTTCCCTTTTCTGACAGAGGTCTACAGTTTCAGTCAACAAAACAGTTACACTGTTCCAGTTGATCATTTCAAACCTCCATCCGTTTTCATCAGATCAGGGGATCTGATCCTTCATAACAGGGAAAGAAGCTATTGATATTCAGGAAGAAGGAAACGGTCATGGAAGACTTTACAAGTGAATTACGCCCAGGCAGAAGTCTGCTTATTACAGCATAGCCTGAGTTCGAGTTTACAGCATCCTTTAGTTCAATCAAGGAGGCAGCCTACAGTCCATTTCCACGTGCTGCAACAGAGCACTAGCAGGGGGTTTATGTCTTGGGTGCCCCATTTCCTTTGCTAATACCACACAGCTCATCTCCATTCCTTCATCTACCAAGATAGTAAGAAACCTTAATGTCACTGCACATTGACGGAGTAGCCGCTGGAACAGCTGAACAGTAGTAATATTGCCTACGTTGAGCAACCTGATCTAGTGGAAGGTGTACCTGCCCGCAGCAGAGGGGTTGGAACTAGATGATCTTTCAGGTCCCTTCCAACCCAAACCATTCTATGGTTCAGTGATACTCCTGAATATGGGATAAGAGAGAGCAGCTGAATCTATTGCGGAGGTATACAATAAATAAAGACTCACATGGATGGAAACAATCCTCACCTTACTCCTTTTATTTGCACTTAAGAAAAAGTTATCTTTTTGACCATTTTGTCAGTTAGGATTGGTAAGGGTCAGAAAGTGAGGTACCAGTTTAGAATAATGAAAGGATTAACATATCTCCTCCTCCTGTTCATATATTTCAAGTCATGGAGCTCTAACAGCAGCAGTTTTCTTAACCAAAACACAAAATGAGTTGGTGTATAATGATGTAAAAAGCTATTGATCCAAAATGAGTAAGACAGCAAAACATGGCACTGATCTGTAATACACAAAGGATTTTCTGAGGGACCAAAAAGCCTGACAAAACATACTTTGTATTTTTGTCACACAGGTAGGCTCTGGATTTTTTTTGGACTGTCATCAAATCATACAGATTCAACAAAGCAAGACATCAAGTCATGCATTTATTCCCTAAATAAGATACAAGTGCTTTGGGCTGGGTGAGGTGGGGGGGGAGCAGCAGGGGAGAATGATGCAAAAGCCTACATAGATGACATCTTTTAAGCAAATATTTTCCAAATATTATTTCATGGGGAAAGTGTTTGGGGTTTCACAAAATATCTGATTAGATACAGATCAGACGAACTGGGAGACTAGAGATGTCTTATTATGTGCAAATTTTAATTCAGTCCTTGTATACATGTGTTACGATAGCATCTTGAAATACAAAAATGCTTAAAAAGACAAAAGGATCCCTGCCTCATTCAGTGCACGGTATGTACAATGTTGAGGTGTTGAACAGGTTTTCAACATTTTGTTCTGTACTCATTGTTCAGAATGAGGCTCCATCAGATTTTATTTTGCTAATAAGCCGCCTCAGCTTCTTTTATGCAATACGTATTTTCCCCCCTTGATTGATTAGAGATCATAGAATGGTTTGGCTTGGAAGGGACCTCAAAAATCATCTAGTTCCAACCCCCCTGCTATGGGCAGGGACACCCTCCACTAGACCACGCTGCCCAAAGCCTCATCCAACCTGGCCTTGAACACTTCCAGGGATGGGGCCTCAACAACCTCTCCGGGCAACCTCTTCCAGTGCCTCACCACTCTCACAGTAAAGAATTCCTTTCTAACATCTAATCTAAATCAACCCTCCTTCAGCTTAAACCCATTACCCCTTGTCCTGTCACTACACTCCCTCATAAACAGTCCCTCACCATCTTTCCTGTAGGCCCCCTTCAGGTACTGGCAGGCTGCAATAAGGCCACCCCAGAGCCTTCTCTTCTCCAGGCTGACCAAACCCACCTCTCTCAGCCTGTCCTCACAGGAGAGGTGCTCCAGCCCTCTGATCAGCTTCATGGCCCTCCTCTGGACTCTCTCCAACATCTCCATGTCTCTCCTGTACTGGGGCCCCCAGAGCTGGACGCAGTACTCCAGGTGGGGTCACACAAGAGCAATAATTGGATTATATTTCCTCTTCCATTGCCTTAAAATTTCTCTTCCAGTACTCATGATACACTCTATTCCAAGACAGGTTTAAACAGAATTTCATCAAGCAGAGCTTGAAAGCTAGAGAAGAAATTGTCCAGCAATTCCTTGAAGTTCCTTACATTCAAATTCCTTGAAGTTCCTTAAACATTCATCTTTTCTTTCTACTCATGTTTTACAAACCTATTTTGTAATTTGAAAAACACCTAATAAAGGCATAGCCGCTGAATTAATCACCTTAAGACTAAAGAAAGCATCACTGCAATACTCATTTTTCCATTTAGATATCACAGCACTTTAAGACAAATTTAGTGTAATAAAACCAGAACTCCCGCCCCTTTTTTTTGTTTACATTTTCACCCAATATTAAGTTTTTATTTGATGACAGTGTTATCCTCCTGTTATTCTCCCATTGTTCAACTGTCTACCAAGTTCAACTGCATTCTCCTCTTGAAACAAATCCAACCCAAACTGCATGTACATGGAAACACGTTCTGAAACAGGCATACCAGCCAAGGGCATAATGCAGCCCTAGGCGTAAATACTGTCCTTGTTTCATCGCATACTACAGGCAAATACAAAACTGAACAAAAAACTTAAAGCAGAGGAAAAGTAAACCAAACATATCAGAAATATTTGATTAATGATCAGGGATTTTTCTCATTTTGCCGTAACATAGATCAAGTTGAAAAGCCACACAATTAGGTCCAGACCAGACTCCCCATCCAGTGCACACAAACAGGAAGCACCACTCAAGCAGTCGCACGATTCCTGATAACTTAGCTGTAGCATGAAAACTATTTGGGTAAGAAGTTTCTATCAGCTATTTCGGGAGCAGCAAGGCAAGCTGCGGATCATTAGAGGTTTCTGAAATTCAGATCAGTTTGATTTTAGTCAGCTTCTCAGGAAACCTGGATAAAGCTAGCTACAATACAAGTAAGTAGAGAAGGAACCCAGTAGTGAAGTACTCTGATGACTAAATGATCGCTGTCACAGGCTCCTTCCAAACCACAAGCTTTCAGACACACTGAGTATCCTTGACAGCTGTGAGAAAGTAACCTGCTAATCATGCGATCATGTACGACAGTGTCCTTTTGACACGTGTACTACAGTGCTGTCAGGACAAATACTGACTTCATGCCTAAAAAGGTTTGTTAATTTGTATTGCAAATTAATTCAAAATATAAGCTATCTAAAGTAAACTTAGATCTTAAAATAAATTGCAGAAACACACACACAATACAAATAGATAATCCACATGCAGGAAAAAAAAAAAAAGCTGTGATGTTAACCAGATCTTTTTTTATTAGAGTCTCCCATGCAAAGTTTTACATCCTCCCTCAGGTTAGCAATTGAAAATGCCTCTTCCAGTCAAAAGGAGAGAGACGTCAGTCAGTACACCTACTGGTTTTACATTCACAACAACAAAAGCTAAGTCAGGTGCTCTCCATGTGTTTAGTAAAAAGAGATCATGGCAGTCCCATACCTAAACTGTTGAGCACTGCCAAACAGCTTCTAGCTGATAAAGACGCAACTGAGAACTGAAAGACCATCTCAAGTGCCCAAAGAAAAAGACAGACACTTAAGTCACATAAATCACAGACTCACTGAGAAAACAAACCAGAGCTGACAAAAGTCCAAAGTAAGCAGGGCCTTTTTTCCAATGATTCACTTTATAACTGATGAAGTGGCTCAACTAACTTAGCTTATGAGGTGTATAGATTTGAATATACCTAGGAAGTAGCTCTTTGTTTTCAACTTCTGTTTTAAATCTTGTTTTCTTCAATTACTGTTCTACAGGAAACGTCACACAATCTTTCTCACACAAAGAGAAGATGAAGAGCTTCTGTAAAGTACAATCCTCCTGCTCCAAATGGATATGAACTGAAGTTCATGAACGTGAACCCCAATTAAATTGAACTACCATCAAGCAAACAAAAAGCAAAGGAAAGTTAAGTTGCCAGTAGACTTGGTCGTAAGCACCAACAGCATCAGGCTACTTCTACTACTGTTGAAGACTGACACCCACAATTGCTCCTGCACTAGCTCACTAGAAGAAAACATTTTCAACAAAAATAATGAAGTTCTAAGATTTTTAGGAAAAAACTGAATGGAAACTACAGCTCATCAGTGCTATCAAGTCAAATGAGGCTTTATGTTCTGAGAGAAACAGAGTAGGTTTTGGCAGTATGTTCAGCAGATATTTTTTTTAAGTCAGCTGTTACACAGACATACACACAAGACAGAATACAAACTGAGTCATGTATTCCCATTCCTAAGCTTGTGTGTTCGCGTATCTCCCTCTGAATGACAGGTAGGAGAGAAAAGCCTACATGAGAAACATACAAAATGGATACTCCTCGCCACACCAAACATGCATTTTACCTGGCAGGATTGTGCCTCAGAATCAAGATCTTACCTTCCCAATTAATAATCAGTAATGCTGATCATCAAGCATGTCTTACACGTAATGAAGACTGCAAAAGGTAAAAACTTCAGATCTTCAGTATAGCAGATCCATGTATCACCCACTCAGCTGTGTACACGCCCAACCTATACAACCAATTGTTGCTGACTGATGTGCTGTATTTCCACTGATAGAAATACCTTTATAACATATGTACAACACTGCTTCAATGTGTTACATTTCTTTTTCTATTGGTTGGTTGAGAAAGAATAAAATCAATCCTATCTATTAAAGCTGTTCTTAGCATTAAGCTTATACGCTATGCTGGACAGGATAAAACACAGATATACTTTTCTTCCACTTTAAGAAAGTGAAACACACAAAATATTGAGACAAGGCAGATACATAATCCTGTGTCTTCCAAACTTTTGAGTCACTTAAAAACATGTAACACAGCTCAAAGTATCAGGACAAAGTTGTACAAGCCAAGCCATGGCTGGTTTGCAGGCCAATGTACTTAAAAAGGATACTTAAAAAGTATCCTTAAAACAAGTACTGTACAAAGTGTACCGAATATTTACATAATTGTCAGAAAAGTAAATTTGCTGCATTTTAAATTACTGAGATCTAACAAAAAAATCCTTAAGTGAATAAGTAGATGAGTAATAGGTCAGGATATGATAGACCTCCTTAGATACAAAATTAACTTTACTCATATTAACTAGAGGAACATGTGTTAGCAGAAATGTTCTCATTCCCTACTTTTACAAATGGGATTATCAGGCAGCATTTTTTTTTAAGATCTATATTTCAAAGATAAGGTAAGCATATAACACACATTAAGCAGAAGCATGCTCAGAGGACAAAACACTTTGCTTCTACTGTAAGCTCTTCCTAAGACATCACTAGGACTTTTATAATGGTTCCATCATAAGCCAAGCAATCCACTTTTGTGTTTGCAATGGTTTACTGTGAAAATGACCAAACTTCCTCCTGCTTGCATTCATTCCCTGTGTTGACTACAATTTGGCCACGTCATCTCAGCTATAAATCCCCACATCACAATGAACTACTCATTAGAGAAATACAGAATGCAGTGCCTGAAAAAAACCAACTTCCATCTTTTCACAGACAAATCGTAATAGCAGAGTCTCATTATCATGCTAATGCTTTCAAGAGACTATCAGAAACTAATTTTATTCTACCATCTCCAGAGAAGCCCCTTCCTTTGCAAATTTTCTGAAAATGTAACTGTTTTAATAAGCTGTTAAATAAGAATGAGAAATTAAATTGAAAACAATATCAAAAGCACAAATACAGGCTTGGACAAAAAAAAATTACATTTGAAATTAATGAGACACAGTTTGAAGTACACCAAAAAAAATTACAATTCAATCCTAGACATGGCACCAAACAAAAAGGGAGAAAATTAATTAATGAGTCATTAAGTATTTAGTCAAGGCTCAGTGTGGTCTCATTAGCCAAGTAGGTTAGACCTAATTAAAACTTAGTACAAGATTCACACGAAAAGCCTAAACTGGCTGTTGCAGACTGTCAGAGTTCAGAGTGGGTGCTGACCACTGAACCTGCACATATCTAGAGAAACTCCTTTGCTAGATGCTTTCTACTTTTAAACACAATAAAAAAGTGTGTCAGTGCTGTATACCCTTCAAGGTATTTTCCTGGCATCTTTAGAAAGTATAAAAGGCCAAACTAATTCCTGCTTAATTGTGACAGCCATCTTCTGACTCATCACAACGTCACCTGGTATTTCTGCTGCTGGCTATGCAGTACATACGGTGTTTTCTACCTGCACTGGTGCTGGGCATGCTGTATAGAAACTCAGGGAGAGAGAGCAGGGAAGAAGCACAGGTACCACATTCCAAACACCCTCCTCAGCCAAACCACATATCAACTTGCCCCCAGGACACTAAAATACCACAAAATTATAGGTTGATAAGACTTGGACCTAAAAGGAAGTGGCAAAATGACCACTCCGATATTCAAAGTACCAAGCAACAACACTGTATCACTTCCACTGTATTTGCTTGATTCTGTGGGCTAAGGAGGTCACAGTTACTCAAACAAGTCAGACTTAACACTGAAGGAACCAAAAAAGTAAGAGTTTGCATACCTTCTATTTGACTAAAAACACCACCACCACTACACAAATCTTGCATTTTTTTTCTTCCCATTTATCCTTCTTCTAGCTTTCAAGACACACATACCCAATTATGAAAAAACTAAACCACAATTCAGATAAAACAGAGGCCTACAATGAAAAACACCTCTTCAGCATTGAGTCTACAATAGTCTAAATTATATGAGAAAATACTACAAGGAAAATAAAAGGTTAAAAAAAGCTCACAATTAAGAGCTTCCTATTGTTGCTGGCCTCCCTAATCCGTGAGCGTCAAGGAGTCAAACATCTGTTCCTCTCCAGCAAAACTGGAATCAAGTAATAATTTTTTCTATCCTATAGAATATTTGCAAAAAATGTTTCTATGAGCAAAAGGCACAGCTGAGTTAAATAAAGGACTTCTAATAGTAATCAAATAAAAATTAAAATGTCTTGTCAAGCATCACAATTTGCAAATAAATTTTTTAATGAAGCTTAACTTCAAATCCAGCATAGCAGACTGTCATACTAAGAACAGGACCAGAAAGAGCTACCCTCCTGTGTTAGCATACATACCTTTGTCCTTCTTGAAGTCCAAAGCATCTTCCTTATCTGTCACTATTTCCTTCATGTTGATAATACTTTGGTGATTAAGCTGTCGCAGAATCTTAATCTCCCGAATAGCTGTAATTGGAAACCCTTCCTTTTCATTATCCAGACGTACTTTCTTTAGTGCCACCATTTCCCCTAAGAGAAAATTTAAATAAAAAACCCTTCAGATTAGCAAGCAAACTATGGGATTTAGTATTGGGTTTGTTCATTTGTTTTTAAAACCCTTCTCATTTGTTACTATTTCTGAATGCATCAGCCTTGGTTGCACCAAACACTATGCTGAATGGAAATAGAATTAACCGTTGTTGGGAAACAATCACATGGAGAAGCAAAACTATAAATGAGAATTTTCAGCTACCCACTGCAAGGCTTGTCATCATCTTCCTGCATACCTCGCTCACCTGTGTCCTGATATTCCACATCGAGTCTATCAATAAACTCCCATATAAGAGTGATTATCAACAGCAGCTTCAGAGACAGAAGCCTGTATCTGCTCTGGATTTCTTATTACTACCTCACCACAGGTCAGAATGCATATATCTAGCCAGAAATACTACATAGTTCAAGATATGAGTCAGACAACTAAAGAGTTCTCAAATTCCACAGCATACTTTCTACAAGCAGAAGTGTCACTGCCATGCTTACAGTGAGGAGCAATTTTCCTTATTATTTTACTGCAGGTTGGGCTGGATGAAGCTAGATTCTGCAAAATGGCAGCAACATGATCTGCTCATGATGGAGGATATCTAAAGACTGTATGCCAGGAATTTTATTGCTGGGAAGTATATTGACAGTACAGATATCTTTGTAAGCCCTAAAAAGGACTTATCCTACACCTGAATGCCAATCTTCACACAGGATTTGAATTCAAAGCTAATGGAAGGTTTGCTGTAACTATATGGACCCACTCAATACAGACAGCAACAACTTCTACTGGAGGTTAAGAAATGACACCACACATTAATAACCTGAAGCTTGCCAAAGAGGCAATACAGTTATGATGGATTAAGGAGTTAAATGTGCGATGAACCAAATAACAAGAGAGCAGGAAGAAACTCCTAACAATGATTCGCAATGGTTCCCAAGGTAGTAGCTAAAAAATAAAATCTGTGACAGTTCAACTTAAGAATTAAAGTTTGCAAACTGGGACAAGCACAGGTGAAGAATAAAGAAGGAATTATAATGACACTGCTTATTCTTCTGGAGATCAGAAAGAAGGAACTGAGACTGGTATGTGATCCTGTGTGATTCAGTTACTGCTGAAGCAGAAAATTATCCAGCATTTAAAGCGTGCACAAATAAGCCAGAAGGGCAAGCAGTCACAGAAAGAACCACTAATTAAACATAAAACGATCAAGCAACATACAGCACATATGAAGAACCAATTTAAATGCATTATCTATTTAGAAGTAATGACAATATTCTTAAGTATCACAGTGGTGACTGCTTGCTCGTTTGAGCAATAGTTTAACATGAAATCTAAAAATTATGTCATTGTTTTGTCATAAGTCAGTTATACTGCAAGAAAAATACCCAATAGGCAACACTTCAAGGCTGTGTTGCAGAGAGGCAGATTGTCTTCCTACTATCAGCTAGTGACTATCAGAGACATTAGAAGGCAGAATACTACAGGTTTTACTCAATATAAAAACAAAACCAAAATATCCAGTTCACTTTAGAATTGTAATTTACCTTTTTGAACTTACCTGTGTCTTTATCCCTAGCTTTGTAAACTTGCCCATAAGTGCCTTCACCAATAATACCAATGATATCAAATTTATCCACACAGCGCTTTCCCCAATCTATTTCTTTTTCTTTTGTTTCACCATGTCGTGGTCCACATATTCTAGAAAACAACAAGTATTTCTAAGAATACAGCTAATTTATCTTAAGGATTGTCTTAACCTTGAAAAAAAACCTCAACACAAAATATTTATGAGACGTTATTAGATAACTGGCTTACTACCATCAAGTGGCGATAAACCACGCAGTTTGATTCAAGTCTAAATTAATACTAAAAAAGTCATTACGAAGCAGAAACATTTTTAAAAGAATGTATTTTAAAGAAACAATTATCACTTCTACTTGCTTGACAGGCTTTTAAAAAAAAGTCTAATAAACATACTTTGGTCTTCTCTTGCTGTGTAACTGAACTGCTGGTTTCTTTTCTTCAGGACTTTTGGATAAGTCAGCTCCTCCTGGCAACTCAGGTGGAAGTGGCAAGTCTGCAAGCAGATGGCGAAGTTTCTTCTCTGCTTCTTTAACTGACTTCACGGAAAGATTCTCTCGCAAACTATTAAAAAAGACACAATTTTGCTAATAAGTTGAACACAGTAGAATGATATTAACATACATAAGGGAAAACCTGTTGGAATTATTTTTTTAAAATACATTGTAGGCTGCTGGTTCATCAACATTTGAAATCTCTGCTCTTAGAATTTGCAGGACTTTTGATTTATGGATTACAAATGGCTCACAAACAGCTTCTTGGAAGATGCACAGCTAACTACCAAAATTCTACAGAGACTATGAAATCAGATCTTTCTGGTGAAAGCTGAGGTTAGATGACAAGCCTTACCAAGCCAGACTTCTTCTGCCGCACAAGGTCTTTCTCAAACTTATGGCCTAGACTATTAAGAATATTTAGAGCTCAGGTGCTGCCAGACATCAGAAGTGTAGTGGTAAAATCTGTACTCTGACTTCCCATATAATAGAGATTACCCTAATCCAGTTCACTATAATGTTGCTCTCCAGAGATAATGAGCTTTGTGGCCACAGTAACACTGCAGGTCATTACGAGGCAGTCCACACCACCTCATTTACAGATTCCAATCTCGTACATTTGCTGAAACACTCCAGATTCAACACATTTCTAGTGATAAGCATGCAAATCAAGTGGAAAAAAAAAATCAGATAAAAAAAATGACTACATGTTTTTCTGCCATGAGTTACTGATATCTGACCATTTTTAATCATCAACCATTATTAGGTAACAGATACTGACAGTCAATCTCTGTCTTGAGAAAAATCCCCCAAACACATGTACAGGAATGTATTTTTTTAACAATTACTATACACAATAATTCTAGAAATGCTCTTCCCATTCTAATGGGGAAATTCTGAAAACATCATATTTCCTGCAGGATTATATTTTTTTTAAAACACATGGTTCCATTTTACCAGAACTTCCTTTAGCTAGATTTGTGCAGCTACTGCGCATCCAGCATTTTTAAACCACAACCATCTCTATATGTAATTACATAACGTTTCTTCCCCACAGGACTCTCATACAGTATTCTCTCTTTAAATTTCAAACTTTGTCATTGCATCAAGAAAACTTTCTGTCATGCTTTGAGGGGACATTTTCCAAGATAGCTGTATTTGCCAAATTGCACTATTCTATTGTCAGCATCCTTCTCTGGGAACCTTTTCTAGAGGTTTTTCTGCAACTTATAATCTATTTAGTTTAACAGACAAAGCATAAACTTCTGTAAATGGAAAGATCTTGCTATCTCCTATCACAGTGAATGCGTATTTTCTTTCTTACATTAACTGCAATTAGCAATCTTTTATTTAATTATATAAAGCATTCCAGTGTTTTGTGTATGGCTATGCAGAACACCTGAATGTCTTCTACCACTTCTCAAGATTCCACTGCCTGAATTTAAAGAGGCACCTCAAGGAAGCACATACTGCCCTCATCACAAATACAATAGTTAGCACGCTATAAAGAATAAAGCACTTTTGGACAGTGCATGTAATTACCATGGTAAAGAAAAATGCTTAATTTTGAATTCATATATTTGTATTTCTCTCACAAAATTTTGCTTCCAAACTTTCAAATATTAGTGAAAGTACAATATATGAGAGGTACTGAAACAGACTTTAAAAGTGGTTTAGGAAAACAGAGGCAGCCAAAAGCAGCCTCTTTTCCAGGCCTGTTAAATCACAAGTCGTGGACCACCAGAACAGCTTTCCCTTTCAACTAACCTACACAGTGGTTTCGCAACACAGCTGTTCCTTTAGGTAGTTTATTTGTGGGTTTAACAGATTCTTACTGAACTTCACAACTGACACAGCGTTAGGAACCATCCAGCTCTGCACAGCATCAAGCTTGCTTTGTTGGCACACTTTCTGCATAGTAATTTTGAGCCCAAGGTAAATAACTTTGCCCTCCTTGCCCCTAAAAAACGTTGAACATTTTTCTTTGATGACTTAAGCTTTATCACAACTTGTAATCACAAGCATTCTGATATGAAGTTTATAACGTCCTATAAGCAAAGCATAAATTACATTCTATTACTTGTTAATTTTTCTAATGCAGCTGTTTGCAAGCCTTAGGCTGTTTTTTTTCTGGAAAGGAGAATGAGCTCAGTGCTGATAGCACCATTTAATTGTAGTTTAACTCCTCTGTGCAGTTTAGCTACACTTAAAACAGGTATTACGCTAAAAAAAATACTAAAGAGAAGCAAGATGAATCCTCATTTCATAACATCATTATTAACACTGCAAACCAGTCATATTTAAACTAGTTAGCCTAGTTTTTAGTTAAAACAGTAAATGTTGCTCTCAAATAACAGTGTCAGAAATCCCATTTACCTAGAGGATGACTTTGTCATAAATTTAAATGCAACCACACATTCACCACACAGATGTGATTCTGAACAACTGGAATGACATTTGCTAGAGTGCTGAAGGGCAAGAAAAAAAAGACTTTTCTTTTACTACTAAAAAAAAAAATCTAATACCTTGTTAGGTTGTATTTATTTGCCAAGGCCTTCTGTGCATCCTAATGTTTACCACAGCATTGAATTACTAGCAAACACAGGAGAAACATTTACATCTCTAGTTATAACTACTATACTAATCAAAGAAACACTACACACTTCTCAAAGAACAAGAGAAGACAGGCTAGTTTCACAGATATGGGATATAAAAGTACTTCATAAGGTTTTGAATCTTTCTTTTACAGTTTGATTTTTTACAAAAGATCTATCACACTTAAATTAGTTATTACTTCAACATTCAGAAATTTTATTTTACTTGTGAAAGTTGATTTCTCGTATACATGTGAGAAGCATGTAACACCACGAGTAAAATCAAAAGTAACTCTTCTCAACTTCATCACCAAAACCAAAAGAAAAGCAGTAAATTACAGCTCAACAGCATAATTTCCCAATACACCTATTGACAGCATGTATTCTCTATTAGGACTATGAAGAGACTTCATGTAGTCTAAACTCAGATGACACTTGGAATAGACATGAATTTCTTCACTACAGACCCATTTTTACGCTTCTAAACTTAACACAAATGACAGGACATGAACCTCACTTCCATTATACATTCTTAAAATAATACTGAGCTCTGAGACAAATTATACGAAAATAACACACAGCTATAAAAACAATTGTCTTCCAAAGGGAAGAGAATCTTTACTTCACACACCCCCAATTTAAGAGTTTTCACATATTGCTACTGAATTCAACTTTTCCCCACAAGTATGTACATGTTCATACCAAGCTTGAAATCTTGAATCCTTGAATGCATCTTTGCATTAGTCCCTAGCTATTATGTACCAGCAATTTTAAATCGTCTTTAGTGTACTTTTTATTGAAAGATTCCTCCTAGACTAAATCCTTCTCTTTGAGAACCACTTAAATTATTTTTAAGATCAAATTCCTTCAGTTCACTAACAATCACCATGTTAAACAACTGAAGAGCAAGAACAAACTACCTATTGCATCAGCCTGATCTATATTTGTTTTCCAAAGGAAGTAACAATAACAATAAAAAAAGAACATACAACAACAACACTAATAAAAAGGAAGAGACAACTCCAAAAAGCAAATCTATGTCACAACTCACCTATCAGTTTCTTTATCTTCAGGCAGCGTGGGAGGCAAAGGCAAGGGTGGCAGTGTGGAGGTTGGTAGTGCAACAATTCGATCCTTGTCCTTGGTTACTACACTTGGTGTACTTGGTTTGCTTTTCTCTTTTACAGTGACTGGTGGCTGTTTTACAACAGTTAATTTATTCTCTTTTACTGCTGTGGGTTTCTGCTTAGTAATTTTGTCTGCAATTAAATTATTTTCTCCTTTTGTTTCAGGAAGCGAGACTTTTGCCTTTGCCTTGTCATTTTTCAAATTTGCGCTGCTTGTAGGAGAAGGCGTATGCTCAGTTTTTATTTTCTTCAGGTCCTTTACATTGTTCACTTGAGGCGCACTTACAGCAGTGTCAGTGCTTCCCTTAGTAGGTGTTGAAGTATTGGAAGCTTTTGCACTAGCTTTGGCTGCCTCAGCAGCTCTTGCTTTTTTGTTTTTGTTCAGTTCAGCAGCCAGGCTACTCTTCAGAGTCAATGTACTAGGAGAAATACTTGAATGACGACTTCTGGATCTAGACAACCTGTGTCTGCTACGAGACCTTGAGTGCCTTGATGAATATGGACTTCTGCTTCGAGATTTTGCTGATCTCCTGTTTCAAAAAAGTTAAGATTTACCCAGTTAAAGATTAGTCTAGCTGCTTTCTCAGTCTATCTGCTTTTTTGACAAACTACTTTTAAACCAATCATCATCACCATACTTCAAGAATAAACAAGGCTATGAAATAGGAGAGACCGTACCTTAAAAAAAAGTCTGCACAGTTAAAAAATCAAGATTTTCCATCTAAACAGGATTTTAGAAAATGTTACAGCTTTCTTATACATACTTTTTCTCATTAAAAAACTGCAAAATACAAGTATACCTATAGGGCAGATAGGTTCCTTTTTCCTCACCACTTATCAGATATTTTTCTCCTTTAAAGAAAATCTGATCCGATGCAACTTGTGCGAACACCTTCAGTATATGCAGTATTTGAGAAAAAAATCAGCTGGCTATGTAACCAGAATTCAACAAAATTAAATCACTGTTACAACATGACAAGAAAAATCTAAATACAACACTGAAGAAGTAAGCAATTTCTTAATTTTTACTTTCACAATGGTCATTAAAATAAGTTAGTTGAAAAAAATACTGAATACTAAAGGCTGCTATGTAACTAACTGAAAGACAGCAATAAACCTTAACTTTCTTTTTTCAAAATTTAACCACATACTTTTTCCCAAAAACCATAAGTACCCAATACTTGTTATAGCTACTAATAAGCAAACATAATCCACAAGTAGGCCCATGCTATGCCTGCATCAGAATAAAGAGACCAATAGAAAGGGGGTGTGTGTGTGTAAATCTAAGCCATCTACAAAATCATAACAGGAAAACAACAGAGAATGAGGGCAGGAGGAAATCTTAACAGTTAGAAAAACACTTTTACTGTACAAAAATACCATTTAACATGAATTATTTTTCATTCAGTTTTCCAGAGGGATATCCTAATTTCCCCAGTAGTTTTGATTCAGTTTTTCATTAAAAGACAAAAGGGAAAAAAAAAACCCACAAAAAAACCCCCCACAAAAAAACGAATTGGGGTGAAGGGCATGAGAACAAGTAAAGTAGCCTAATCCACTGCTACCACACAGAAACTTTATGAAATAAATGAAATGAAATGTGGGGGGTTTAATCCATTTTACCATACTAAGAATAGTAAGGTTATTCATTCACCAAGATTCTCTTGATGGAAAAGTTAAAGTTTGATGGAAATATATTTCTCTTGAGTATATCACTTAAAGGGGAAGAAAAAGTATAATAAGGATAAATTCATAAGCTGGACAAAGAAAAAAATTATTAAGCAATAGCAAAAATAAGACTTCTTGGAGATACAAGAACTTCAGAGTTCAAAAAATAGCACACCAGTGTATGGAGGCTGGCAAAACTTTAAAGAGAAAAAAACCAAAGCAGCCAACTACAATCGTTATGGTCAGGACTATCCACCCCATGTTAAATTTAATTTTAGTAACAATTAAATTAAATCAAATTTAATATCAACAGAAGAAATAACATTCAGTGCTTCAACTGAATATTTGATATGGTATATGCTTCTATTTTGTGTGCAATAATTACTAATTTCCAAATTTACACAGTTTTCCTGCATTATAAAATGTCTCCTTTCTAAAGCAACATAAAAATTCATTGAGATAAGTCAAAATTATGAAGGAGTGATTCAAAACAATGTGTAGGTGTGCACACTGTACACTGCAGCACAAGCTTCAAAATTCTATAGGTAAAACTGAAATTGATCCAAACGGCTAGAGAACCTTGAAAGCAAAAACAACAAAAAACCAAACCCCACATGACAAGTCTTGGAAACTAACACGGTTCATTTCTATGCCAGAAAGCAGGATTTATAGAATTTTCTGGCATAGCAGGATAACAAAGACAGATGATGATGGTGGTGGTAACAACAATAATAATAATAGTTTTTACACTTCTCATTATTACGTTGGAAATCTAAGTACTAAATCCCAAAGAAAGTTTTCAGAGGTTGGGCCAAACTGAAGTAAAAGTAAAAAAGTACAAAGTTCCATAATATAGAGTTATGATGGTGTAGTAGGTAGAAAAAGGAGGGCCAAGACTATCCAGACAATACATACACTTCAAATTCTAGGTCGGAGCTCTCCGCACACTGTTATCTCACTTTCTGAGAGGAATTATTATCTCAAGCAGAGGTATGCTGCTACAGATCCACACCAGCTGTAGAATCAGTATAATTATGTATCTCCAGCATCAAGCGCAAGCTAATAAGCCCCATTACTCCTAAACTGACTTCTATAAATGGTGCACCATTTGCGAGGATGTCACTGACCTGTCTTGGAAAACATCTGCTTGCATGTCTTGTTCCTAGATCTGCCGTTTTAAACTGACACTTGCTCCGGTTACCTGTAGAACACAACCTCCATCCCAAGGACCTCACTTGTATTATTCTTTTAAAAATTTAAAACATTCCCTAAAGGTCTCAATATTGGTTATATTTCTTTCATAAGTACAATTTCTGGAGTTTTTTTTGTTTTGGTTTTTTGTTTGTTTTCTGAATGGTGCCTAATATAAAGTAACCTATGTCACAAACAGAAATATGAATGTAATTCCATATGCACTAGAGAAGTAGCAGCTTAAAACACTATAGCTGCTGAGACACCATGCCTAATCATAAGACTTTCTGATCCACTTTGGTTCAAAATAGAACAGGTTCATTTAGCATTGACAATGGTTTGATGTACGTATTTTACCAATGTTAGTCAAGAGAGTCTGGGATGTGAAAGTTGATTTGTGCAAGCCCAGCAAAAAGCCACCATTCTCCAACCCAGGTTTCACACCCCAAATGACAACAGCATAACTTTCTCATGTCAGAATTGCACGTACTATGGCCCTTACAGCAGGTCACAATGATAGTAGCCTAGTTATGAAATATGTTGACCAAGTATAATCTCTACACTAATTTAATTTTTCCAAAAATTTTTCATTATTTAATTTTATGTCAGAAAAAAAATTTATGTTGCATTACATAGTGCATGTCTGTGCTAATAATAAATGAGAGCTTCCTTTGGCATCCCAAAGACCTTTGCAAGGATCCCTTGCTGTACCTTGTCCACTGGGCTAGACCCAAGAGAGTTACAGCAAAAACATTAACACTTTCAACTAAACAGACAAACACTGAATCTCAAGTAAAAGGCAGCTTTGTAAAAGTGCTAGTTATTTGAATTACAATGATAAAAATCTGGTGTTTTCATAGGCTTAATGATATTTTCAGATATTCAACTATCACTTTCTTTCATCCGTGTTAGTTCAAAAGTCCCAAGAGAACCTTCCAGGCTAGACAAAACTTATGTACAAGCTTCCATCTATAAAAATGGCACAAAACCAAAACTACAGACATTTACAAGCTTTCCCTCAGAAGCATGGAAAAATATTGCATTCTACATCATAAAACCATCCAATTCACTCTGTTCAGAGCTAATGCTCATTGACATAAAAGATGAGGTCACAATAGCTCATACAATAGACAGCGTCTGCCATTTAACACAGCACTAACATTTTACTGGGACCCTGAAAAAACATGGGAGAGACATCTGATATATACAGTACTCTCTAAATCTTCCAACAGATTTCTATTAAATGTGTGCATGTGTATGCATACACACATATATAAAAGGCCTTATCTGACATTCATTTGCCACTATTATTTAATCTTTAAAAAGGAGTTTATTTTTAGCACAGTAAACAGGAAAAAATGTGTGGCTACCACTGCACAGAACTGCGTTGCAAATGGCAAACAAATCCAGTGAAACAATCCAAACTTTTTCCCCCCACATGCCTGGAGAGATCAGAAGCATACTAAACCTAAGGGCCACATCTAAACCTCCCAAACCAAAAGCACCAGCATCTGCTGGTAACACACATAGAGAGAGACTACTAGGAAGCCCCTGTATCAGCTAAGTTTATTCTGATACTTCTTATTTGCACCCAGAAGTTCTGCCTTATTTACAAGTAACTTTGCCACGCTTAGCCATTAAGAGTCTCCTATGAGCATCCTGAATTCACTTCACACAGGTCTATATTCCTACAGAGACGATAACTGCCAGACTTCATGACATTCATAAAATCACTTCTGAACCATATAAGGATTTCAATATGGTTTTTATATGGAGGGGGGAGAAAAAAAGAAAACTGATTTGCCTAAAACCCGTAAGTATCAATAGGACTAGTCTGCATTAGAACTAAGAAGTTCTTTACATAAAACTGCTTTTTTTCTTCCCCAGAGACAGCAACAAAAGAGACTAGGAGCACAACTAGATTGGCTGCAAAGGGAAATCGAAGTAATTACATAATATTATGTGTAGCTATAAAACAAAACCAGAAAAATACATCAAAACATTATCTATGAAACATGTATGACAAGAGGCATATTTAAAGAAACTGACAGAGGAAGAAAGCACTAGGTAAGGAAGTCACCCTGAAACCAAAACTCAGCACTGCTTTCTTCCATTTTTCAGAACAAAAAGAATGCTTCCCCCAGTCAAAAAAAAAAAAAAAGTTTGTTTAGGTATCATAGTTTTGTTTTGGGGTGGGGTTTTTTTGGGTTTTTTGGTTGGGTTTTTTTTGCCTAGCACCCTAGATTTCATAAAACAAACCAGCATTTGTTTTTTCTCTGATTAATTAATACAATGTACTTATTCACTGTATAAAAACTCACTTCAGATACCAAAGTGTTATTAGTTACAAGTTTCAAAACTGTCACAATGTTCCTCCTTCTCCCAAGGCAACACTCTATTGCACTTCACTGGTTAAATCTACTGTTTGGTAACTAGTAAGTTAATGAATTAAAAAAAAAAGTCTACCAATGTAATATAATTTACACTCTCAAGCACACAGTGAAATACTTCCAAATAGTAACTTAAAACTTGAAGTGCTATATTTTACTATCTTGATATTTGAAAGCACAAAGGAAACAAAAATAACAGTGTTACACATCTCAGATTTCCAGGAAAAGAGTTTTCAGTCAGCTGTTTTTTCTTGCCATGCTACTTTTCTAGGTGCTTCTCT